TAGTGCCACTTGCCTGGACCTGGACCCCTTGGTTTTACCTTCGGGTCCATCAATTGAGCCTAGTGCTCATGCGAGCCTCATTGCCCCGGTAACATCGTTGGACATTAAAAATGCCCTATTTGATATAGGCAATGATAAGGCTCCGGGTCCGGATGGATATTCATCTGCCTTCTTTAAGGCGAATTGGAATGTTGTGGGGAATGACATAGTCCTAGCGGTCAAGGAGTTTTTTAGCTCGGGAAAGTTGCTAAAACAGATCAACCACACTGTCATAGCGCTTATCCCAAAAACAAACCACTCCCCAAAAGTCTCGGACTATAGACCCATCTCGTGTACGAATGTCCTATACAAAGTTATTACGAAAATTCTTGCGGCTAGATTAATTCCGTGTCTTCCGGGATTAATTGATCATGCCCAAGGTGCCTTTGTGAATGGCCGTCTCATGATTGATAACATTTTCCTTGCCCAGGAACTTGTTAGAGGATACACGAGAAAGCGAATTTCACCAAGATGTATGATCGAGGTGGATTTGCGTAAGGCCTATGATACTATTTCTTGGGATTTCCTTGAGGCGGTTCTCAAGGGTTTGGGCCTCCCTTTGAGATTTGTGGGTTGGGTTATGGCATGTGTTACCACGGCATCGTTTTCTGTTTCTCTAAATGGATCACTATATGGGTTTTTAGAGGGAAAAAGGGGTATTCGTCAAGGAGATCCAATGTCTCCCCTTTTATTTGTACTATGCCTAGAATACTTTTCTCGACTTCTTAACTTGAAAACCAAAAAATCGAATTTTAAATTTCATCCTAAATGCGAACCTCTTAAGATTGCGCATTTGGCCTATGCATATGATCTTATGCTATTCTCTAGGGGCGACAAGGTCTCAATCGAAACTCTTGTCAAAGCGCTCCAAGAATTTGGGGATGCATCGGGCCTTAGGGTGAATTACAACAAATCTAACATCTTTATACGTGGGGTTAATGAATTTGAGTTACAAAACATTATGGACATAGTTGATTTTGGGAAGGGTGAGTTTCCGGTTAAATACTTGGGGATTCCCCTTGCCCCTCTTAAAGTCTCGGTGGCACAATATGCCCCTTTGCTTGATACGATTCTTGACTTTTTGAATGCATGGAATACAAAATCTATTTCGTATGCCGGGAAGATTGAGCTAATTAGATCTGTGATCCAAGGGGTCCAATCCTTTTGGCTCCAAGTCTTTCCCGTACCACGGACCATCTTGGATCGTATTGTTTCCATTTGTAGAGTGTTCCTATGGGGGGGAAGTATGCCAAAGTGGCATGGGATGATATCTGCCTTCCCAAAGGGGAAGGGGGCATTGGTATTCGTAATGCCAAGGTTTGGAATCAGGCCCTCCTCTCCCGAACGCTTTGGGATGTCCACCTTAAGAAGGACACTCTTTGGGTAAAATGGGTTAATGGGATCTACCTCAAGGGCAGAAGTGTGTGGGACTTCACCCCACACAGTCGGGATTCGACTTTCATGAAGAGTTTGGCTTTAATAAGGGATAAAATCAAAGGTCATTTTAATAACCTGAATGATACTGTTATGGGTTTAGCCTCTAGATCCATCAACGGTAAACTGATTTCTAGCAAAATTTATGAATTATTGAGAATAAAGGGGACGGCTAAGGTATGGATGAGCTTCATATGGAAATCTTACATCCCTCCCAAATTCTCGTTTAATGTTTGGCTTGCGTTCCGGAATAGGTTACCTACCCAGGATAACCTTGAATATTTGCATATTGTGAATAGATGTGACCTTTGCAAGGGTGGCTTGGAGTTAATGCCACACCTTTTCTTTGCTTGCCCTTTCACTTGTAGGGTATGGGAGCGCATTAGGACTTGGTTTGGGATGGCGCATCAAATGACCACGATGTCTAGCTCGGTCAAATGGATCTTGAAGGACCACAAGGGATCGAAGTTGATGGGAAAAGCTGTTCGGGCAGCCTTTTGTGCTACTATATATCACATTTGGCACGCTAGGAACGCTAACCGATTTGATGACGCAAACAAGAATGAAGATGAACTAGTTGCTAAAATTAAGCACGTGGTATATAGGATACTCTTCATCTTATACCCGTGTGAGATGATTAGGTTTTGAGGAGGACTTTGGACTATTGGAAGCCGCGGCATGTGGGAAGTGTGAAGCCGCGGCATGGGAGACTTTTGAAGCCGCGGCATGTGGAGCAGTGTGGATGCAGCTTGCATCACGTCGTCTTGTTTTTTATTTTTGGAGTTAAAGGAGCACACTATAACCTCCTTTGACTTAGACTTGATTGTTTTTTGGTAGAGCTATGTGCGTGCACACTTGCAGCACTGATTCTGATTTTGTTTAGCCTCGGGCATTGGGTATACTATACTTAGGCCCTGATTTTTTATTTTGGACTAGATCGAATAAAAACCTCTCCTAACCCCTACGCTAGGTAGGGGTGGGGGGGTTTTAGGAGATCTAAAACCCATGATGTATAGTTTTTCTTTGGGTGTTAATATATATTTACATTTCATCCAAAAAAATCGAAAGAGCTCTCAGTTCTGATGATCCTGATGATTAAAGCCGTTATATGGAATGTGAGAGGTTTGAAAAAACCTTCTAAACACTCTACTATTTCGAATTTTATTAATTCTAATCATGCGAGTTTGTGTTGTTTTTTGGAAACAAAAATGTCAAAATTAAATATTGCGAATTATATATCTAATAAATGGACTGGTTGGCTTTTTGAAACTAATCACTCTTTTATAGATGGTGGACGTATACTTGTATTTTGAAATCCTAATTTAATCACATGTACATTAATTGAAATGGGGGAGCAACACATGCACTTCAAATGCCTATGCCTCACGTCTCAAACTATTTTTCATGCTACTTTTGTCTATTCGCTATATACAGTTTTGAGGCGTAGGTCTCTATGGGAGCACCTTTCTTTGCTCGGGGATCAAATTAAGGATCCTTGGTTCTTAGCTGGTGACTTTAATTGTGTTTGCTCTCCTAATGAGAGGTTGGGTTCTAACGCACCCTCGGACTATCTTTTAAAAGATTTACTTGATTTTAAAATCCGGGCTAGCCTTCAAGATGCCCCATCCATGGGGGAATTCTTTACGTGGAATAAGGGACATCTTTGGGCAAAACTTGACCGGGTATTGTTAAATGAGACGTGGGCTCATTTGAGGATCGGATGCAAGGCCCATTTCGCTGAAATGGAGGTCGAGTTTGACCACACGGCATCCGTGGTGTCTATACTCAATAATACCTCTCTCAGGCCGAAATCATTCAATTTTTTTAACATGTGGTTGCAACATTGTGCTTTCACTAACATACTTTTGCAGAATTGGAATGTGAATATTCAAGGCACGGCTCAATTCCAAATTGCTAAGAAACTTAAGTTGCTAAAACAGCCGCTTAAGAATCTTAACAAAGTGGAATTTGGTCATATTTCTATGAAGGCAAAAAATGCGAAAGAGGATTTTAAAAGGCTTAACAGGTTGTTGCTTGATTCTCCCGATGATGCCGACCTCAAAGAGCAAGTAAATGGGGCGAGAAAAAGAGCCACCTTCCTAGGTGAGGCCGAATGTAGCTTCTTCCAACAGCGGGCGAAAGCTACACATATCCTTGAGGCGGATAAGGGCACAAGGTATTTCCACGCTATCGTCAACAGGAACAAGGCCAGGAATACCATTACGTCCATAAGGTTGGATGATGGTAGCCTCACTACTTCTATTGATCTAAAAATTCCACCGACTGATTCTCGTTTTTCTTGTTGTTCTTACCTCGGAAATCTCTCCTCTTTCACATCTATCGTTTGGATTTGTTAGAAATTGATTTCTGAAGCAAGGACCGACGTATTTAGAAACCTCTGCTCGCACAATCTACTGTTCATTCCCGATTTAGAAGTTGTGCTTGGATCTAATATTGGACGGTTGGTTGTGGAAAAGGAAGCTTGTTTGGGGGTCGCCGGCCTCTGGCGAACCTCCAGCACCTGGTTTGGGACCTCCGCCACGCCGCCGTACCGGACTTTGAGAAGAGTCGTTGCGAACGGCCACTGTTCATCGCAGTCTACAATCTTGCAGATTTCTTCATTTGTTGTCGTTCAACCTGGAATCTGAAGCTTGTTTAGAGTTCATCTGGCTGGGACGAAGCTGCTGGTACTGATCTTATCTGCTACAAGTCGGTAATCCGTTTTCCCCCAAATTTCTTGGGCACTGTAGCTACGACGAAGGTCAGACTGCTTTGACTCTCTTTACTGCAATTATTCGTTGCTTCTTTGAATTATTGTTTCTCTGTGAGCTTCGTCAGGTTTAGCAGCACCTCTGGTAATTTTTTGGGAATTGTTTAACTGGATTTGAGCTTGTGCGTTACTGTTCATCTTCCCTGGGAGATTGCTATAGTAATCTCTGCGCACCAGAACTAGTTAATTGATTCTCCATTCATTTGTACTTGGTGTTTGCTTGTTCTAACATTACTGCTGCAGTACCTTGTATTAGTTAGAATATTTTTCTAGCTTCTACACTGCCCGGTTTTTGGAACTGTTTATACTATTGTGTTCACGATCTCTTGGAGCATATATCACTCCTTTTTCAGGATCTTTGGAACAAGGATTTCTGGGAATTTGTCTTCTTCCTTGGGAAATTCTGGTTGCTACAGTAAATCCTGCGCCTAGAACTAGTTAATCTTTTTTCTAGGGCTGTATTGTTGCATATTGTGTTAGCTAACCATACCAGGTTGATAAACAAACAAAGAGCTATCTCCCGGAGTTTTTTGAGTTTTTTTGGAGCAAGTCCAAAATTCTCAAACATTCTGTCTGCTACAGTAACGCAGTACTAGTTAAAGGTTTTTTCTAGCTTCATTACTTCTCGGTTCTTGGATTTGATTGTACCATTGTGTTCAGCACTTAATTGTGTTTCACTAACATTATTTTGAGAATTTTTGGTGCATATTTTGTGTGGAAAATGATGTGGTCTTTGTTTTTCTTCTAATTCATTACTAGGAAAAACAAGCAAAGCCGAACTCCTCCACCTAAAGATGCAAAGTTTGAGGAAAAGGTCAAATATCTTCAAGCAAAGAAGCTAGTGAGTGAGCTCAAAAAGAGAGAAAAGAAGGGGGAGGGTGTTGGCACGATGGAGGTTTTACCAACATCGGATCAACAAGATTCTTCTAACTCCAAAGATGGTGGTTCTACCGCTCCTAGTATTGAGGTTGAAAGCTTACCTCCTAATGATACTACTATGGCCGAGGTGTCCTTGGCTATTTCTAATGCAAAGAGTGGTGATGCCTCAAACAATGAGCCATCTCTTGCACCCCATGCAATGGGGGGAGCTGGTTCCTTTGCGGAGGCACTCTTGGGGATTTCATCTTCTACAAATGTAGGTGTAACAAAGGAGAGTATTCCAAGCAAGGTTCAAACTACATCTATGGAAGTGTCGGATTACAACAAAGTGATTATTCAGGATGAAGACGAGTCCATCTCACTTGGCTCACATGACACCGAACCCAGCAAGCGAGACCAAGAGGAGGAAAAAGGGGAGGGAGGAAAGCAATGGTCCTCCCTATTCCATAATAACCGAGCTCCTTCTTCCGGATTAAAGCTTGAATACTTTCCACCCACCGGTGAAAAGTTGGATTTTTCTCACTTAAAAGTTCCTACTCTCATTGAAGTGTGGGGCTATTGCTTGGTGGGTCACTTTTCGGGAAGGTTTCCAGGACTTAAAGCCATATATGCCATGACCAAAGCATGGGAGGTGGAGGTACAAGTCAAAACACATGGCAAGGGTTGGGTCATATTCAAGTTTCTATGCGAGGGTGACCGAACCAAGGTACTAACCGAAGGGCCATATATCCTATATGGCAAGACTATGTTCCTTAAAGAATTATCGGAAGACTTCTCTACAAATAGTGACGAGTTCCTCAAAGTGCCAACATGGGTGAAATTTCCTAGGCTTTCTATGCGTTTGTGGCAAGCAAATGAGATTGGGAGGATTGCCTCTATGGTGGGTGTCCCTATTACGACCGATAAAGTTACTCAAGACAAAACCTACACTAGTTTTGCTAGAGTACTAATTGAAATTGATGCTTCCAAGCCACCGACCCTCCAATTTCCAATTATCCTCCCCTCAGGCAAAGAGTATGTGCAAACAGTCCTATACGAGACCTACCCTAATTTTTGTTGTCATTGCAAAAAATTTGGGCATCACTTCTTCGTGTGTAAGGTTCTCAACCCGCCAAAGGGAAAGGTAATTGAGGAGGTTTCGACCAAGGGAAAAACAGTGGGGGTAACAACGGAGAAGGAGGAGAACTTCCAGGTGGTCACTTACAAAAAGAAGCAACCTAACGCTCCTTTACAAGGCAGGTTACAAACTGCCTATAAGCTGCCGGTCTTCCCGTTTGTCCCCAAAAATGTTGAAAACGTTTGGGGCAAAAAGCATGTTGTTGATAAAGATTGGGATGGACGTCAAGTTTCTAGCGTACATGAGATGGAAGTTGATGATATAGTTACAAAATTTGTAACTAAAGAAGACGGATTGCACTTGGCGTTTGTTAAGAAGAGGCACCAAATTGAGAGCCATGCTTCCATTGTTAGTATCGGGAGAGACCTTCATAGGGAGCCTCGCATGGATAAACCGGCTATTTGCTTCACGGACTCTTGTCTTGTATCACTTCCCGGAGTCAAACGTGCAAGGAGATGGTACGCATTTAATAAAGAAATTTTTATTCTTAATGTTGCTTGTTTTTTTGATGTCAATGTGAGGCACAACAAGGATTTCTTGCAAGCTAAAAAACTGCCCACGGAGAGTATTATCCCCTCCATGGCTTTGCAATCAAGAGGAGAAGGTGCGAGTTCCTCCAAATTGCCGGCACCATATACGAAGGCAGCACTTTTGGATCCTTTAACCGGGGAGAAAGTCGCTCAACAAGTTGAAAATCCGGAGGGACGAAGAGTTCGCAACATGCACGACATGTTTGAGGATGATGTAGTCACCAACATGCTCAAGGATGAAAACGGGAAAAGGGTGATCTTCGTTAAACCCTTAGATGATATTGCACATGATGTAAAAGTAGTGAAAGTGGGGCCTAGTCTTGAGTGGGTACCATGTGATGAACCGGGGGTCTTCTTTACCGAGCCGTGCTTGATCTCATTCCTAACGGTTAAGAAGAACAAAGATTGGTATGACTTTGATACTTTGCTTTTCACTAACGATGTGTTTGATTTTTTTGATGCCAACACTAGTTGGAACAAAAAATACTTGAAAGAAAAGCAAAGAAGGAAGAGGAAGGCCGAGCGTGAGAAGGAGAAAGGGCAAATTCAACCCGGGGATGATGGCTACACCTCGGATTTCTATCTCACTTGATGATTAGTATCCTTGCTTGGAATGTCCGAGGTTTGAACAAAACCTCAAAGCATAATTTAATTTCTAGCTTTGTTAAATCCAATAATGTGAATTTGTGGTGTTTTGTTGAAACTAAAATGACCACGGCCAGTTTTAATAAATACGTTTTAAATAAATGGCCGGGGTGGCATTGTGAAAATAATTTTGAAAAAATAATAGGTGGCCGTATGGCTATTTGTTGGAATCCTTCTTTTATTGATTGTGTTGTTGTTATGATTGATGCACAATTTATACATGTTAAATGTGTTTGCCGAACTTCACAAATAACTTTTCAAGTTACTTTTGTGTGTGCATTATATACCGTCTTGGAGCGCAAAGCTTTATGGGATAAACTCACTGTACTTGGTGACCGAATTAGGGAACCTTGGATAGTTACGGGGGACTTTAATTGTATATGTGCTCCAAGTGAAAGGGTTGGGCCTAGCCCACCTACGGCGTATATAATGCAACATTTATTTGATTTTATTGTCCGAGCTAGCCTTGAGGATGCCCCTTCTACCGGGGAATTTTTCACGTGGAATAAATGTAATCTTTGGGCTAAGCTCGACCGTGTACTTGTCAACGATGTATGGGGGCAGCTTGGTATTAGTTGTAAGGCCCATTTCTTTGAAATGGAGGTTGAGTTTGATCATACGGCTTCCGTAATATCATTACTCAATAATTCCTCTCTTAGGCCGAAACCATTCAAATTTTTTAATATATGGATTAAGCATTGTGATTTTGCTAACATAGTAGCACAGAAATGGAGTCAATTTATTGATGGCACGGCTCAGTTTTCAATTGTGAGGAAACTAAAGTTGCTCAAAAGGCCGCTAAAGAACCTCAACGCAGTGGAATTTGGGCATATATCAATGAAGGCAAAGAGAGCAAAGGAAGAATTCAAAAGGTTGAATAAATTATTGCTAGTCTCGCCTCTTGATGATGATTTAAAATTGCAAGTGGGGGCTGCTAGGAAAAAGGCTACCTTTTTGGGGGAGGCCGAATCATGCTTCTACCAACAAAAAGCAAAGGCCACACACATCCTTGAGGCAGACAAAGGCACAAGATACTTCCATGCCATCGTGAAGAGGAATGCTACAAGGAACGCCATTTCTTCCATAGTTTTGGAGGACGGTAGCCTTACTACTTCCTTAGATCAGGTTGGGGATGAATTTGTAAAATTTTTTGTGAATTTATTTGGTACTAGCGAGATAAACCTACCCCTTGACCCGTTGGTTTTAGGAACCGGCCCCTTGATTGAACCAAGTGTTCATGATAGCCTTCTTACTCCGGTAACAAACAAGGAAATTAAAGATGCTTTGTTTGATATTGGGGATGACAAGGCACCGGGGCCGGATGGGTTTACCTCGGCCTTCTTTAAGGCAAATTGGAGTTTTATTGGGGATGACATAATCCAAGCGATTAAGGAGTTTTTTCGGACGGGTAAGTTGCTCAAACAGATCAATCATACTGTTATAGCACTTATCCCTAAGACTAATCACTCCCCGAAAGTGTCGAACTATAGACCTATTTCATGCACGAATGTATTATATAAAATTATCACAAAAATTATTGCGGCTCGATTAACCCCGTGTCTTTCGGGACTGGTTAATCAAGCCCAAGGAGCTTTCGTAGATGGCCGCCTAATGTTTGATAACATTTTCCTAGCCCAGGAAGTTGTTAGAGGATACAATAGGAAGCGAATCTCACCGAGATGTATGATTAAGGTAGATTTGCGCAAGGCCTACGACACGATTTCCTGGGATTTCTTGGACAAAGTCTTGAGGGGCATGGGCTTCCCCGATAAATTTATTGCATGGATTATGGAGTGTGTGTCCAATGTCTACTTCTCGGTTTCTTTAAACGGATCGCTTTACGGATTCTTCAAAGACAAACGTGGAATTAGGCAAGGGATGTCCAATGTCCCCTTTGCTTTTTGTTTTGTGCCTTGAATATTTCTCCCGGTTACTCACCGTGAGAACCAAAGGGGGGAATTTTAATTACCACCCGCAATGCTCCACGTTGGGCATCACCCATTTGGCATATGCCGATGACCTTATGCTATTCTCGAGAGGTGACACATTTTCCATTGAAATATTGGTCAACGCTCTCAAAGAGTTTGGCGAGGCATCCGGTCTAAGGGTTAACCACGAAAAATCGAATATTTTTTTGGGAGGGGTGAAGGAGCTAGAACTACAAAACATTTTAAACATTGTCGACTATGGGCAAGGAATATTCCCGGTAAGATACCTTGGAATACCACTTGCCCCGCTAAAGGTATCGGTTGCACAATATGCTCCCCTAATCGACATGGTCAAAGATTTCCTAAATGCGTGGAATACGAAAACACTATCCTATGCTGGAAAAATTGAGCTAATCCGATCGGTGATCCAAGGGGTCCAATCGTTTTGGCTCCAAATCTTCCCGGTTCCGCAAACCATATTGGATAGGATAGTGTCCATTTGTAGAATGTTTTTGTGGGGTGGAAAGTTTGCGAAGGTGGCTTGGGATGACATATGTCTTCCAAAAGAGGAAGGGGGTCTTGGCATCCATAATGCCCGTACTTGGAACCATAGCCTCCTTTCTCGCACTCTTTGGGACGTACACAAAAAGAAAGATACCCTTTGGGTTCGTTGGGTTAATGGTGTATACCTTAAGGGTAGAAGTGTGTGGGATTTTGTCCCACACGGCCGAGACTCACAACTCATGAAGAGGTTAAGTCAAATACGGGACAAAATACGAGGATGCTTTAATAATTTAAATGAAACCATTATGGGCCTTAACGCTAGGAGTAGGGTTGGACTCGGGCCGGGTCGGGCCCGGGCCGGGCCTAGGCCTGGTCGGGCCGGCGGTTCTATATAGTTGGACCCGGGACCGGCCCGGGTAGCCACCGGGTCCGGTCCGGGTCCGGGCCGGGCCGGGCCTCGGGTTTGGTTACTTTTTTTTTTTTTGCTTAGCTACCCATCCCTGACCCCCCCCCCCTCACCCCCCACCCCCAAACCCCTCCTGAACATCAAGCCCAACCCGGTGGAGCCCAAACAAATGAAAAAACCAAAAAAAAAAATTGGCCCGAACCGGGCCCGGCCGGGCCTTGTTATGGGTGACCCGAGCCCGGACCGGAAACCCACCGGGTCGGGCCTACCCGGACCGGTCACTGACCGGGCCACCGGGTCGGGCCTACCCGGACCGGTCACTGACCGGGCCACCGGTTCGGGCCGGGCCGGAACAGTACTGGTCCTGGGCCGGTTCCGGGTCGGGCCACCTTCTTCATGGGAGTTGGAAAAAACATATGTCATATGTCATACAAGCCACCTTCGCAAACTTTCCACCCCACAAAAACATTCTACAAATGGACACTATCCTATCCAATATGGTTTGCGGAACCGGGAAGATTTGGAGCCAAAACGATTGGACCCCTTGGATCACCGATCAGATTAGCTCAATTTTTCCGGCATAGGATAGTGTTTTCGTATTCCACGCATTTAGGAAATCTTTGACCATGTCGATTAGGGGAGCATATTGTGCAACCGATACCTTTAGCGGGGCAAGTGGTATTCCAAGGTATCTTACCGGGAATATTCCTTGCCCATAGTCGACAATGTTTAAAATGTTTTGTAGTTCTAGCACCTTCACCCCTCCCAAAAAAATATTCGATTTTTCGTGGTTAACCCTTAGGCCGGATGCCTCGCCAAACTCTTTGAGAGCGTTGACCAATATTTCAATGGAAAATGTGTCACCTCTCGAGAATAGCATAAGGTCATCGGCATATGCCAAATGGGTGATGCCCAACGTGGAGCATTGCGGGTGGTAATTAAAATTCCCCCCTTTGGTTCTCACGGTGAGTAACCGGGAGAAATATTCAAGGCACAAAACAAAAAGCAAAGGGGACATTGGACCCCCCTTGCCTAATTCCACGTTTGTCTTTGAAGAATCCGTAAAGCGATCCGTTTAAAGAAACCGAGAAGTAGACATTGGACACACACTCCATAATCCATGCAATAAATTTATCGGGGAAGCCCATGCCCCTCAAGACTTTGTCCAAGAAATCCCAGGAAATCGTGTCGTAGGCCTTGCGCAAATCTACCTTAATCATACATCTCGGTGAGATTCGCTTCCTATTGTATCCTCTAACAACTTCCTGGGCTAGGAAAATGTTATCAAACATTAGGCGGCCATCTACGAAAGCTCCTTGGGCTTGATTAACCAGTCCCGAAAGACACGGGGTTAATCGAGCCGCAATAATTTTTGTGATAATTTTATATAATACATTCGTGCATGAAATAGGTCTATAGTTCGACACTTTCGGGGAGTGATTAGTCTTAGGGATAAGTGCTATAACAGTATAATTGATCTGTTTGAGCAACTTACCCGTCCGAAAAAACTCCTTAATCGCTTGGATTATGTCATCCCCAATAAAACTCCAATTTGCCTTAAAGAAGGCCGAGGTAAACCCATCCGGCCCCGGTGCCTTGTCATCCCCAATATCAAACAAAGCATCTTTTATTTCCTTGTTTGTTACCGGAGCAAGAAGGCTATCATGAACACTTGGTTCAATCAAGGGGCCGGTTCGTAAAACCAACGGGTCAAGGGGTAGGTTTATCTCACTAGTACCAAATAAATTCACAAAAAATTTTACAAATTCATCCCCAACTTGATCTAAGGAAGTAGTAAGGCTACCGTCCTCCAAAACTATGGAAAAAATGGCGTTCCTTGTAGCATTCCTCTTCACGATGGCATGGAAGTATCTTGTGCCTTTGTCCGCCTCAAGGATGTGTGTGGCCTTTGCTTTTTGTTGGTAGAAGCATGATTCGGTCCCGGGGCCTTATCATTGCCAATGTCAAATAGGGCATTTTTGATGTCCAACGTTGTGACCGGGGCAATGAGGCTAGAGTGGGCACTAGGTTGAACAAGTGGACCCGAAGGTAAGACCAAGGGGTCCAAAGCATCACACACATTAGGTGTACCAAATAAATCAGCAAAGAAGCTTACAAATTCATTACCCACTTGATCCAACGAGGTAGTAAGTGTACCATCCTCCAAGGTAAGCGATGAGATTGTGTTCCTCGCTAAATTCCTCTTCACAATTGCATGGAAGTATTTAGTGCACTTGTCCGCCTCTAGGATGTGTGTAGCCTTAGCCCGTTGTTGGAAGAAAGAGGCTTCGGCTTCACCTAAGAATATAGCATGCTTTGATGCCGCGGCCAATTGTGCCTTGAATTCCAAATCATCCGGGCGTTGGAGGGCCAACTTATGAAGTCTTTTGAATTCATCCTTCGCACCTTTGGCCTTATTTGAAATATGTCCAAACTCCGCGGCATTAAGAGTCTTAAGGGGTCTTTTAAGTCCCTTTAGTCTCTTTACTAACTTGAATTGGGCCGTTCCCACAAAATTCTTATTCCAATGCAAATCTAGAATGTTAGCAAATTCAGGATGCTTTAGCCACATATTAAAGAATTTAAAAGGTTTGGGTCTTGAAGAGGAGTTTAGGAGTATAGACATAACGGATGCCGTATGGTCAAACTCTACCTCCATTTCATGGAAATGGACCCTACACCCTATGCTATTAAGCCCCCAACTATCATTGATCAAAACCCTATCAAGTTTGGCCCAAAGTGCACCTTTGTTCCATGTGAAGAACTCTCTTGTGGAGGGTGCATCCTCAAGGCCATTGGTGGCTTTAAAATCAAAAAGGTGTCGTAGGGGGGGTAGGACTCACCCTTTCATTAGGCGCACAAATACAATTAAAATCACCACACACCATCCATGGCTCATTCAAGTTTTCACCTACCAATGTCAAACAGTCCCAAAGAGACTTCCTTTCAAGGACAGTATATAATGGATACACAAAAGTAGCAAAGAAAGGAGTTTGAGTTATCTTACAAACACACTTTGCATGCATAAATTGCTTCTCTTTTTCCAAAAAATCACATTTTATTAGGTTAGGGTTCCACATAACCACAATGCGTCCTCCATTGATTAGGTCAAAGTTATTCTCAAAAATCCAACCCGGCCATTTATTTAAAACATAGTTATTAATAGCGGCCAAGGTCATTTTAGTTTCTAGAAAACAAACTAAACAAATGTTACTCAACTTAATATAAGAGGCAATAGTATTATGCTTAGAGGTTTTGTTTAAACCTCTAACGTTCCAAACCATAAGCCGCGGCATTTAGGTGAGGTATAGGTCCGGAGTGGGTCCTCCACCCTCGGTTGTACTCTTCCTTTCTTCCCTTCGTTTCCTCCTCATCATTTCCTTGAAGTACGCCTTGTTCTCCTTGTTGTTTTCATCAAAGAAAGCTACAACGTTAGGAATAAAAATGGAAGGATCAAAATCATACCAAGAGGCCTTTCGCTTGACTCCCGGAAGTGTGTGTAGACACTGATGCGTGAAGCTCATGCTCGGGCTCTTTTCTTCATCTGCTCTCTTGAAGTCCGGCCCAACCCTTTCTTCGAAATGACTAAGTTGAAGATCTGCCCTCTTCATAACAAAGACACTTCTCTTGCCCTTATCATCAAATTCCATCTTGGTGATCACATCTTGCATGTCCATCTCGTATACACTTTTCACCCTCTTGCCTCCAATGTCCTTATCCGGGGTTTGGATGCCATCAACAAATTCCTTTGTTAGATGGTTCATCTTTAGAACGAAAGGATACGTAGGCTCCTTGGGTTTAGGTGCAACCAATGTCTTGTCCACTGGTTTTGGCATTGTAGAATTAGCCTTAGATGTTGAAGCAACATTGTTAGGCCCTTGCGGTTTTGCCTTTGCCTTCCGTTTTTTCCGGATCGCTTCTTGAAATGGAGGTTCTTCCAAAGCAACCCCCTTTCCCTTGTCTAAGTCCACGACCTTCTTCCCTTTGTTCAATGCCGCGGCACCAACCCCTTTGTTGTTGACTGTGGCAGTCTTGTTGATCACCAAGTGGGGATGAAGGACTTTACACTCAAAAGGGTTGTGGTCAAAAGCTTTGCAGTGATAACAATATTCTGGGTAGGTTTCATACTCAACCCTTTGGGTATACTCCTTACCCGAGGGTGGCACAATAGGGAAGTCCAATACCGGGGGTTTAGAAGCATCTACTTCAATTAGAACCCTAGCATACTTTGTAAACGTCTTATCTTGAGTTACTTTGTCAGTAGTAATAGGCACCCCAATTTGAGAAGCTAACTTTCCAATCTCCATAGCTCTCCATAACCTTAAGTGAAGGTTTAGGAATTTGACCCACGTTGGAACCTTCAAAAATTCTTCGCTTTCAAAGCTAAAATCATCAGAGAGGGCTTTGAGGAACATTGTCTTCCCATATAGGACATAGGGGCCCTCGGTTAGCACCTTGAGCCGGTCTTCATCAGTTTTGAATTTGAAAACCACCCACCCTTTGCTATGAGCTTTGACATCCACTCTCACCCCACACTTTTTAGTCATGTCCAGGATAGCCTTCATGCCCGGGAAACGTCCAGAGAAGTGGCCAACTAGACAGTACCCCCAAATTTCAACAAGTGTGGGTACCTCTAAGTGCGAGAAATCCAATTTTTCCCCAGAAGGAGGAAAGTATTCAAGTTTAAGGCCATTTGAAGGAGCCCGGTTGTCCCTGAATAGAGAAACAGCTAGAAAGAGCTCAGGCTCAAAGTCATCCTCATCCTTCAAAGTGTCAGTGTCTTGTGACCCAAGTGAGATGGACCCCTCGGGCTCATCTATGGAATGTGGGTTGTTTTCATCTGATGTCTCAATGATTGGAGCATCTATATCAACAGGAGGTTTGAGCACAAGAGAAAGCTCGTTGGAAGCCACAGCATTTGAGGAGTTAGAATCCAACCCCAACAATTTTTCCGCATAGGAACCCTGTGGAGTCCCAGTCTTAGTAGATGCTGCGGCATTGTCCTCTTGTCCCCCTGTGTCCACGGAAGTCGCGGCATTACCACCTTGTGCCCCTTTGTCCACGGATGTCGCGGCATTGCCACCA